ATCAGTATGTTTCTGTATGCTTCAAAGCTACTCTCACATTCTTGCATGGAGTTTCCTTCCACTAGATTGTCAAGTCATCAACTTTACTATGTAGAAAGAAGTTAAGTAAAGTCGCTCAGTCATGTCCGACTCTCTGCGACCCCATGGACTGTAGCCTACCAGGCTCCTCCCATGGGATTTTCCAGGCAAGAGTACTGGAGTGGGTTGCCATTTCCTTCTCCAGAAGATTTTCCCCACCTGGGGGTGGAACCCAGGTCTCCTGCATTGTAGGCAGACGCTTTACTGTCTGAGCCAGCAGGCTTCCATTACGCTTATACTTACAACAGTTGTCAACTATAAGCAACAAACCTCTCATTGAATATTCAATACTGAATATTGAACTATTTCAATAATTTCCATCCTTTTTCCTCTGATTTAAGTAATCTTAGCTTATGGTTAAAGCTATTTAATTTTGTGTTGCTGATATCTTAAGATAAATCAAGATTACTTTTTCACTTTTTTTCTATATACAACTGAAGCTTATGAAACTACCTCATTTAGGTTTTTGCCTGGAGAATCCCAGGGACGGGGGAGCCTGGTGAGCTGCCGTCTATGGGATCGCACAGAGTTGGACACGACTGAAGCGACTTAGCAACAGCAGCAGCTGTTTAGCTTTAAGCATTTAGCTTTAAGTTGAAAGGGAAAGCAGAAGGGAAACACAGAGATGGCAAATTAATGCTCCTCTTGTAAGTAACCTCTCCTTCCCTTAGTCCCTCCAATCCCTACTCTGAAAACTCACTTCCATTTCTACTGCTAGACCGATTTCAACATATTTTAACATTTTTTTCACTAACCATCCAGCACCAAACAGCACAGTACCTACTAGGTTCCAGGCCCAATACTAAAGCTATATGGTGGGGTAAGATGCATCAAAGCCCTGCCCTCAAAGCATGTGTTCACCAGAAGGCAGCACTGTCAACAAACATTTACAAATACGATGTAAATATCAAAATGATACCAAGATAGAGGCATGTACTCCGTGCTTTGGAAATATATATTAAAAAAAAAAAAACAAACAAATTAAGTACTATGCGGCAAAGGTAAGGACAGCAGGACAGAAAAAGAGAAACTATTAATAGCTAGAAGTGAAGTGAAATTCACTCAGTCGACTCCGACTCTTTCAAACCCCATGGACCATAGTCCATGGAATTCTCCAGGCCAGAATACTGGAATGGGTAGCCCTTCCCTCCAGGGGATCTTCCCAACCCAGGGATCAAACCAGAGTTTGCTGCACTACAAGCAGATTCTTTACCAACTGAGCTATTACGGAGAGCTAGAAAGGAGTCTTTAAATTTCTTCAGACATTTTCTTTTTAGGATATCAGATGTATTTAAGTAATTTAGTAACCAATTTACCACCCTTCATTGAACTACATCTTGACTTACACTCTACAGGGCAGAGGCTTGGTGTGAAAGGATGTACTCCCTCAGATTACCTCAAAGCTTTCTCTCAACACACAAGTATCACCACCAATTCCTAGTCCTTCTTTCTTCCCTACTCTCCAGCTACTTAAGCACTTTGTCTTACCTGACACTCATTAAAATTACAACACCACATGTATGTGAAGGTACCTTCTATATTTTGATAAACTTACAAAAAGATATGGCAATGATTACATGGACTACCTTCCAGACATCTTATAAAGTCTTTCCTTTAACCCCCACTGTGACTAGAAGAGTAGATACTCAATGAAATGTCTGATTTAAAAATCTCTGGTGATACATTAAGAATTACTTATTACACCAATATTAAGTATCTCATAAAAGCTAAATTAAAACCAATTCTTCAGCATTATAATCTACACAGGAAGAAATAGTAGAGTGGTTAAGAGCATGGACATCAAAGAAAAACTGCCCAACTTCTAATCTAGTCCCCTCATTAATTAGCTTTATGACCTGAAGCAAGCTTCATAACCTCTCAGGGCCTCAATCTTCTCAACTATTAAATGGATAAAGTATTACCTAACTCCTAGGTCAATGTGAGAGTAAATGAGTTGGCATAATGCTTAGACCAGAACCTGATACACCCTAAGGGCTAGACTCTGTAGTAGGAGCAGCAGTGCTCGTATCACATCATCAGAAAACCTGTTTATTTTTTAACCAGTCTTCTTAGTCACAAAGCTCTTTTACAGAAGGTGTTTTTCAGGAGCGGAAAGAGCAAGGCTGGTAGGATTTCCACGGCGGGGAGTCACACTCAGTGTTTAATCCCAGCTCTGCCATTAGTCAGCTATAGGACTACAGACAACTAAGTAACTAGAGGCAAGTTATTCACCTCTCTGACCCTCAATTTCATGATTTGTAAAATGCAATAACACCACCTATACGCCAGGAATGTCCCAAGGACTAGAGAGTCAAGGTACTTGAAGCAACAAGCACAGTGCAAGGCATGCTCTTGAGCTGTATCTGTTCCCCTCCTCCACCCCCTCCATGGAGTATCTCATCTAATTCTCATCCCACCATTATGAAGCTCATATGAGATTGAGACATATTAAAAAACAGCTGAATACTGGCAAACCCCAAACCGTTCAACCTAATGCTACTCCCATTTGCAAATGGAGAAAATAAGCTCAGAGGTTAAATGATTTACTCAAGGTCATATGCACGGTTTAACTGATGGAGCTAAAACTTAAAAAAGATAATTTTTTATTAAAATTGGTCCAGTGAGTCCTGCTCAGAAAGGCGGGGGTATACTAATTACAACAATACGTGTAAAACTACTGTAACCTGCAAGTTTTTGTTCTGCCATATCAAATCCCAAGATGATGATGTAGATTTCTAAGAATCTGTCGATCTTAAAAACTATTTGCAGTGTACTGCTCTGGCGGTCCAGTGGTTACAATTCCACACTTTCACAGCAGGGAGCACGGGTTCATCCCAGGTCAGGGAAGTTCAACAGGCTGCACAGCACACACACACACACACACACACACACTGTCAGGGAAGTTCAACAGGCTGCACTGCACAGCCAACACACACACACACACACACACTCAGGGAAGTTCAACAGGCTGCACTGCACAGCCAACACACACACACACACACACACGCAGGGAAGTTCAACAGGCTGCACTGCACAGCCAACACACACACACACACACACACACACACACACACAAACACACACTCTGTGTGCTGTAGAAGTTGAGGGTTTAATGAAAATTAGAGAAAACTAATATTAAAAAAAGTATTAACTACACCAATTCAAAAACCTACAACTGGAACTAGTTAGAAACTCCACTAATTAGAAAATTCACAAAGCAGCTGAACATCAAATATTCATCCTGGTGAAAAGTTAGCAGTATTCAATACCACCGATGAGTTGTTTGCCAAATATACCATAAGAGTTGCAGTCTATGTATGCCCTTTGGTTCTCGAAATAGTGGAAACAGAAAAGAAAAAAAAAAAAAAGAAAGAAAAGGGTTTTTTTTCCTAATAGTAAGAAATATACTATTGTAGTAACATTATATAACCACTAAGTTTATTTCTACATATTCCACAAGGATAGGATTCTATCACACAACCCATATTTGGGGTACGTATCTGTCCAAACATGAAAGCTCCTATAAAAACGCACCACACTAGTAAATAAAACAGCAAGCGTTAACACAACAAGGCCCCATCTAAGTGGTGAAATCTTTCAACAGTATCAAATATTTACTCTGACTGGTTACAAATCTATTTGACTGTTTTCTCCACTGTCTCCTTTCTCCTTGATATGTCATTCACCATTTTTTCCCCTTAAAATGGCATGAACAACAAAATAAGGATAATGAACAGAAACCGGGTCTTGCAACAGATTCACAATACAACAGTTTTGTTCTAATCCTCTTACTGGCCTCTGCTACAATTATGTAATCATTTCACGGCCAAAGCTTACAAGGCAGGCTCTTTCCCGACCCTGAAATAAAGCTGGAGGGGGAAACAGAAGCGGGGAACAGGTAGCCTCGGAATTTGCTACATTTCCGCGAAACTAAACTGTCTGCATCTTCCGAATCACCATTACCTGAGCGCTCTTAATTTTCAAGACTTTACCCTTTAGCCATTATAGACTTTTTTTAATCCCATAACAACTGGCAACTCTTCACATGCTAAAGATTCCATCTAACATCATCACTTCCCGAGTCCATTAAACTCTTTTCCCTGGGCGATCGGAGCGAGCTATCCACGCTGGAAGGGTAGTGTAATTACAATTATGTCTGAACAGCTCGCCTCAACTCCCCGAAACAAAAGTCAGGCTGAACTGAGCTGTCTCCTAAGGCGCCGGTTCTTGACCACCAGGTTTCGTCGAAACCTCCCAAGGGTGACCTCTACGCCTTGGCGCCGTGCCCGGCTCGCCGTCTCCTAAGACCCTCGGTCCAAGCCTACTGCCTCGCCCGGTCCAGCTCGCGCGGCGCCGGCCTCCAGACTTGTTCGCGAAGTCTCTTTACACCCTGCTCCGCAAGCCCGGGCCCTCAGCTCCGGCCGCGCGCGCCCCCCCCCCGACAGGTAACCTGGGTCTGGCTCCACGCCTCGGGCGCTCAGGACCGCGCAGTTAATGAGTAACGCGCCCGAGGGACGGGGGAGGAGCCGCCGCCGCCCGACGCCCACCAGCGGCCCCAAGGGGCGCCCACATGCCCCCAAGGCGCCGAGCCTCCGCCACCGCCTCCGCCGGAGTCCGCGAGCCCAGGCGGGGGAGCGCGCTCGCCGGGGCCAGGACAGCAGGGGCCGGAGGGGCCGACGCGCTCCCGCGCCCCCTGGCGCCAGGCGGGGCTTTCGCAGGTGTTGGGCGCGGGCCCCAGGTGCCTTCGCGGGTGGTTTCCTTGGGAACCAGGGCGAACTGGCGCTGAGCCTTGTTGCCCTGGGCTTGACAGACGGTCTCCGGTTCACTTCGAGTTTGTTGGGCTCTCCAGGAGTCGGAAGAAGAACCTTCGATGTGAGTTGAGGACCACTATATCCAACCTGAGACTCGGCGCGCATATGTACCTTACAACGTGTGTCTGTGTGTTTGTGTGTGCGCGTGCGTGAGTCTCTGGGGGCATGGATGGGAGGCAGGGGTGTCTGATAGAACCTAGATCCTAGCATTCCAGCAACTGTTAGAGCATTCGAGAATGTCGTGTCTGTACCTACCTTCTCTCATCTTTTGTGTCAACTTTTATCAAACTTCCACCCCACTTTAGGTCCTCCAGAAAGGAAACATGAAACTACAAACCATGTTTCCGAAAATCTGATGGAAAAGAGGCAGTCACATCAAATATGCGTCTCTATGTTTAGTCAAAGAGATACAGGCAGTTTATGCAATATGTATATTGAGTAGGACCCCCATTCTATATATTGATGCCATCTATTAGCGGCAATAAAGAAGAGTAGGTTACATGTATGGCTATAGGAATCAGGATTCCTGGCTTTGAGGTTGGCACCTACTAGCTGTTGTCAGTGACCTTGAGCTAGTTGATCTCTAATAGCCCCAGTAAATGAGGATAATAAGACTACCCACTTCAATAAGTCGTTAAGAAATTAAATGGTTTAATATATGTAAAATACATAGTGTACTTCATGACACAGTGCCTAATGAATATTGTGTATTTGTCTAAGTAGCTAAGTCGTGTCAGACTCTTGAGACTCCATAGACTGTAGCCTGCCAGGCTCCTCTGTCCATGGGATTTTCCAGGCAAGAATACTGGAGTGGGTTGCCATTTCCTTCTCCAGGGGATCTTCCTGACCCAGGGATTGAACCNACCAGGCTCCTCTGTCCATGGGATTTTCCAGGCAAGAATACTGGAGTGGGTTGCCATTTCCTTCTCCAGGGGATCTTCCTGACCCAGGGATTGAACCAGGGTCTCCTGCATTGCAGGCGGATTCTTTACCAACTGAGCCAGAAGGGTGTGTAATGAATATTATCTGTTAATAACATTATTACTGTTATCATCCACCTATAATAAAAACAAACCTAGAAACTCACTATTTACTCTTTTGTACTCCATCTCCAATATATCAAGTCTTACCTATTCTATTTCAGAAAGTTCTTAAATCTACCCCATCTCTTGTTTACTGAGACTAGACATGATCTCCCTCATGAGGGAGGTTGGTTCTCCGCGTCCACTTCTCTCCCTTACACCATGTCATTCATTTAATCAAACATTTATTGTGTTCAGTCTGTGTACCTACTACTCGACTTGGGAAGAAAGAAACCATTACACACAATCTCCATCATCCAAGGACTCAAACATAGTGAAGAAAACAAATATGTCAATAATAACTAAGTGAAATAAATAATTGCAACAGAAAGTAGTCTTTCCATGAAAATGTATTATTTAAGAAATTTTTCTGGTGGCCAATAACAGAAATCCATTCAAAGTATAAGCAGAATGGGAGGAATTACTTTAAGGATATAAAGATTGCTCTCAGAATTCATGGGTAGGGGTGAAAGAAGGCTTGGGAATAGTGTGAAACCTGGGACTGAAATGCTGTGGAGAAGCTAGGAGGTCCCCTCATTGTGTCTCATCTCTCTTTCTCTTCCCTCTTACTGCAGATTATTTATGTACCTGTATAGAGAAGCAATAAATAAACATTTGTTTAATGGAGGGCAATTGTGTAACTGTGAAATAAACTAGACCCAAAGCCAATTTTCAAAACATTTCCTTATAAGTGGGTAACATGTTAAAATGACTCCTTTGTAGGGGATTATACAGTTTAGAGTCTAAGTCCTTTTAGGCTTTTATCAGCCCTTTCTCTCAGCTCTCTGATTTTTTCAGTTGCCTATTCCAACATCAGAAAAAGGATGTGAAATACAGAGGTGTCCATAATTGATTCCATGAGAGATATATTAGAGACAACTGTTTTATACATGAGTTGTGAAAGCAAAATTTTATGTGACATAAGCACTGGCCCACAAGCAAATATTTTGCTAGACAAGGAAATGATAGACTACTTCCTGTTGCAATTAAAAACTCATAAATCAAAAAAATAAAGAGAAAAAAATTCAAAATAACAAACTTAAGCAAAATAAAATATATTCCTCTCATGTAGGTTTATACAATGCAGAGTTGATATGGTGGCTCTCTGATCAGCATGGACACAGGCTTCTTCTGTCACATGGCTTCACAATCCTGAAGGTTCAGCTTCTACCATCAAGTAGGCTGCTCAAGCTCCAGCCATCACCTCCTTATTCCAAGCAGCAGAAAAGCAACAGAGGCTGAAAAGAATATCCCTCTACTTAAAAACACTTGCAGAAGTTGTGTACACCACTGTAGTTACACCTTATTGGTCAGCAGTCAACCATAAGTGATGTTGAAACATACAGTTTCTATTGAGTGGGCATGTGCCCAGCTAGAAATCAATGGTTCTAGTACTAAAGAAAACAGGAGAACAGATATTGGAGACAATTAGCAATATCTGGTTCATCATTCCATATCAGACTTAGGATGAGAGAAATGGTGTTGGGGGAACATATAAATAGAGCCAAGGCATCATAAGGAAAACATGATTTGATGAACACTATACCTGGGACAAGTGCAGGTAGATAGATAAGCCTGGAAATATGTAGGATCCACTTGTAGCAGGTCTTAAATGCCAGACTGAGGAATATAGAATTTGGTTCAGTAGTCAGAAGAGGGTTTCTGAAAGATGTTGAGATGGAGAGTGAAAAGATCAAACCAGTGCTTTAGGAAAAGTAATGTGGTGGCAATGCCTGGAATGTACTTGGTGGTGGGGTGGTGGGGGGGAGGTGATAAGAGGCAAGGAAAATAGAAGCTATTATGAGATACTAAGTGCCTATACTGCAGTAAAAATGGGAAAGGATGAATTTCAAAGAATGAGTTTGTCAAAAAATGCAACAATTGAGTAGATGTCCTCTCTCTCTCACCCTTCCTCTCTCCTCCTCCTTCTCTAAAGTTCAGAATCATTGTACCTATTTGAGATCAGCACAATGATTTTATTTGGGAAAGTACCCTTCCACCATGTTCAGTCCAAATGACCCACATAAAATTGAATTCCCTGTCCCCACTTCCAGGGTAAGTATGTGACCCAAGCTTCACCAGTCAGGGAATCTTCCTGATCTCTGTGACTAGCTCATGATAAGCAAATGACTCAAGCAAGGCTGATAAAAAGTCAATTCTGAGACTTTGGGGAAATTTTTGGGAAAAGTGAATCTCTCTATGAGGATTGCTGAGACCATTAAATGTAAGCCTGAGGCTGCTGGCAGTGATCTTGCCACCCAATGGAGAACATGCCTGAGAATGGGACTAACGGGGAGAAGGCAGAGCTGAGAGATGAGAAAAGCAAGAGTGGGCCCTGGTGACATTATTTCACTTCCTAGGTCAAGCTGTGACTGAAGCTGGAGACCCTAAACTTTTCACTTATATGAGCCAGTAATTTTCTCTTTGCTTAAGACAACTTGTATTGTGTTTTCTGCCACTTGCAAATGAATATGCAGAAATAAAGGCAAGCATGATAATTCCAAGCCTTAAAAAGAGTACCATCTACCTTTGTCATACATAGTATTAAAAGATCTGGCTCTGATAAGTTTTATCTGTTCCAAAAAACCAACTCTACATTCAAAGAGAGGATGTTCGATATAGCTGGGACTGTTCACCATGCTATGAAAACTCTGAACGTAATTAGAGTCATAAAACACGGGAGCTGGAGGAGAATATTAATTCATCTCACCTCCTCACCTGTTTTCACAAATGAGGAAACAGACTCAGAAAGATGAGATTTACACAAAGCCACAGAGCTAATAGATGCTGTCTTGAACCCAGGTCTTTGGAATACTAGTCTATATATTTTTGGGATACTAGTCTATTAGTCATTGTATCATTCTGACACTTCAAAACAGGACATCTAAAAAATGCTTTCAAATACATTTGAAACACATGTATTACTAACAACTTCCCATGAAGCAACTGTTTTGAAAGGATAATATTCAGTGTGAAAGCCTGGGAGTGCTGACAATATTCACCACATTCTTGTGAGGGTAGATGGTCTTTCTGCACAAGGTTGCTGTGACTCATGCCATTATACAATTAAGAGAAACCAACCATGCCGTGTGGACCATTAATACTGGACCTGTGTAGTTGCCTGAGCCAAAATTAGACCTGTGTGTTTTGATTGGACACAAGGAAGGTCGACCTTCAACAGCGTTTTGTTGAGTGAAATAAACCCAGTCAATACCCTTCTCTTTGACAATATGAATTTGAAAATAGGTATACGTAGGAAGAGTGATTATTCAAGCTCAATTGGTGACCCAAAGCAGAATAAACTATCCTTTATGAGGCCTATTAGTCATCCTCATTACAGGAATTCTGGAAAGCCATATGTCCTATAATATCTAGTAGTCCCTGTGTCTTTGCAATAATTCTTTAAACATTCATTCCCTTATTTACCGAGTGTCCCTTACATGCCAAATTCTGATTTAGATGTTGGGAATGTGACAATAAGAATAAGACAGTGACCTGGCCTTTATTGCTGTTACGTTCTAGTGGAGGAGACAGTCAGTACAGGAATAGATATATAACAGCATGTTAAGTAATGAGGCACACTATGAAGAAAAGTAAAGGACTCATTACTTCATGAGAACTTGGTCACATGGCCAAACATGGCTGTAAAGGAAGGCTGGAAAGTGTAGTCTTTGCATTGAAAGTCATCTGCCCAGGAAAAATGGAGAACTAGCAGCCTGCCATAAAGAATACTGGGGTCAGGGGAGGAAGAGACATCACATGCACTGTATATAACATGTCCACGAATTAACAAATGATCCACCATATGGTAAGTTGACCCTAGTGGAGTCCTTGAATGGTTGGTCACATAAATTGTAGATAACTTGTATTCCTTGAGTCAATTTTAGGGGGGTCTGAGGCTATCTGTCTATTAGGCCCTATTTTGATGTTGCCATTCATCAGTATTTACTGCATATCATTAGCTAAATACCACTCAATTGAATGGATCACAGAGTATGTTTGAGGTAGAAATAAAAATGTTTCTCCATTCTCCAAGGAAACTATTCCTCCTCAGTTCTTCTCTGTTACTACATATGTTATCTCAGTCAGTCTTATTTATGAAAACAATATCTTTTCTGTTACACATATCAAGATTTCTCATGTAAATACCCATGCCTTTATAAACCAGTCAGCTAATAGTATTTAGCAGCCATTTACAAGATGTGATTATTGAACCGCCAGCATCAGAATCACCTGAGGTGTTTGTTTAGCCCAGGCTTGATGACTTAGAATCTGAGGACTGAGACTAGCTGCTAAAGTTTTTAACAAACACTGAAAGCAATTCTTGCAATACTAAACTTTAAGAATCAACAGTGAAGGCTATGAGGAA